CAATGAGTAAAGAATTACTATTCCTGATGATTAAATTATTAATTAATTATTAATTAATATTAATTACTTAATTATTCCTGATGAGCTGTCCAATCGTAAACTCGGTCTTTGAACACTGTTTTGTTCCCTTTTCCTTTGTATATTCTCTTTTTGCTTCACTCCTCGAACTCTAACTTTATCGGAATTTTGATCGATTTCTTCATTTCTCAAGTGGTTTTGTGTAGTTTATACAATACTAAGAGTCCTTCAGCGCCTGTTCTTCACTGAACATCCTTGGCGCGTGTGGCACAGAGGACTTGGAGAAGGAGGCTCGATAAGGACAGCTCTGGAAACTAGCTGTTGTCTCCAACTGCAGAACTAAATAGAACTGAGTCGGAAACTTATGAGAAATGGTAAAAAAGCAAGGATATGTGGAGCGTCATCCTTGTACCAGGCGAATGGCTCTTATTTCATTTCCGGTTTTTCTTTCAGAGTGACGCAGGCCAAAGAGGGAGTGAGGCAGCGCGATTTCGATTGAGGCATATGGATGCATTTCAGGTGGATCTTGAGGGTTTCCAAAGGGGGACTTCCTGAGCCACATCTCCAAAAGGGGCTCGTACAGTCATGGGACTCGATCATCACCTGGAATTAGCACTCTAGGTACTTCGATTCAGGAGGACAACAAGGAGCATGAGATAGCGTTCATTTTAATAAGAAAAAGAGGAAGAATCTCCATAATTAGGAAGATTACAACGTTCGAATTCCCAGCGAAAAATTGCACAAGGGGGAGCTGACAGTGTGACCCTGCTGGACGTGTAACTGAACGAATTTCTCTTCAAATCACCCGAAAACCTTGTCATGGTCGTAGCAGTTCTGAACCCTTCGGGTACGGCAGAGAAAGGACAGAGAAATTTTGCAAAAAAAAACTGCACCACACAACTGCCGACTGCCTCCGAGTAAGTCTGATAACTAGCGCTTCATAGTAATAGCCGATAGTTGAGAAATGACAGTTGTAACTACCATTTGATCCTATCATTTCTTTAGCAGAAAGCCATCACATTTTTTGGAGGCTGTCGTCACTTGTGTTGTCAATTCTGCATACGGCACGCACTTGGCAGCGGGATATGAGGAGTACTTCGTTCTAAGGGCTCCTATGACTCCGCATTTTCAGCGACTGTCCAGTAAATGGGCTTTTCCGAAACCTGTTTTCCTTCGGAATTCCATTTTTTTTTGAAGTGAAATGGAAAAGTGCAGCTTTTGCTGCTCCAAGGCGCCCGTGTGCCTGTTGTGACCGCCGTTCACCGTCGCTTCTTTTCCTCGCTATTTAACAGCCTAATCGGAAGAACCTCTGCGTTTCCGCTTGTCGGCTGTGCTCTCGTTTCTCTCACCTTAGACTGACCGGCATCGTCGGTGTCGTGTCGTGCCCCTCGTCAACGTTGAAGAAAAGAAGGTCTGGGCCTATTCCAGTTAGGGGGGCATCATGATGCAGTTTTCCAGAAAGCTAGGTAACTCCGAGCCAGGGGGAGTGTAGCCAGTCTGGGGGGGGGGGGGGAGGGCAGTCACTTGACATGCGTGAAAAGCTGGAATGTTCGAGTTCACATTAGTTCGCCGAGAAACTGCATCATGATGCCCCCCTAACTGGAATAGCCCCTTAAATCTTTATTGTCTATTTTCACGCACCACTTTGTTGTGAGCAGAGAAACTTTACTTAAGTTCTTGACTTGTGTATCTGATGATCGTCTGATGTTATAATGAATATAATGATGGAAATCGTGTTTTCCTAATCCGTTCTGACATGTACCCTTTGCTTCGAACAATTTCACTTCAAGACCCGTGCTGTTTTCCATGCCTTTTGCGCATTATATTTTGCACCTTGACACTGCTGGGTTACCGACTCAGATCACTAGGCTGCAGTGCAGGCGCAATAAAGGGAGCGGTAATCAAAGCTATTCAAACATTCCTCTCTCTACATAGCAAGGCATGGGCGGAGCTGTCCACTCGTTGGGTGGAGCTTCGTGCTGGTGGGTACGTCCTCATGAATCTGACGATTATGCTGGTTCATAGTGACTTTAGGTTTTTGGAACAAGTAAGTTATTATTGTCTTCGAGGTTGCCTGTAATATGAATTTGTAAATCACGAAAGCGAATGAATAGGTGGATTACCCATGTTTGCGTTATGGATTACCCATGTTTGTGTTAACCATACAAAGCACATTTACGCAGGTCGCTCCGGCAACAAGCAATATGAACGCTCTTCAACTTTTGACGTAATAGCCTTGATAAACAACGGCTGTTTTTTCAATAACTATCTCATCCTATTCAAGCGCTCATAACTTCAGCTGAATTTCCTGCTTTTTTTCTCTTGGAAAACTTCATTTGTTCCTGCACTTCTTCAGTGGTTTTGCATTGCCGCGAGTAACCTCGTTAGGGATGCCCTTGAGTTCTGTTGAACGCAAAGACCTTGCAACCAATTGTTTCAAATCTTTTTTTCAGTGTATTTTAATACATATTATTCCTTTATTTACTCGTTTCCATGACTCTTCTGATTGTATGAAAGATGAAGCCAACTAGGGAATGTTTTCAAGTTCCAATGGACCTTTGAATAGAGACCTGGGTCAACCGTTAAGTCAAGGATGCTGGTTACAAATATGGAAAACAAAATTGCTCCGTTAGTTTTTCCAATCAAGCTGTGGGCAACCAAAGCTGATAGGAATGGCGGCGTCAGTAATGGGACGAGCTAATCACTATGCATCAGAATTCTCAATTTTCTGTGAAACTTTGCCTCTAGGATAGGGGCAAATGTTATGGATAGTCACTCGGAATGCCAATGTTAATCTCGAGACTCGAGCTCTCAGGAGGAGAAAATTCAAATTGATTTCACCGCTCTCAGAAGGAGAAAATTTGAACAGATATCACTATTTTTCTAAGCCATTCTAAGTTCAAGCCGAGTAACCTGCTACTCGTTACTGAGTCAAAAACTAACGGGTGCCCTAGAAAAATTTCAGCTAGTGAGGCTAAACGTAGCGTCGATAGTTTGTAAACAGCTGGCCCGGAGTTACTAGGGTGCTAAGATCAGATAGATTTTAGATTAGGCTATTTCAACTAATGAATTGAGTTCATTCGAGAAAGCCTTGGGAGAGTACTTCACATCATGGCATTATTTGCTATGTTTTGTTGTTTTTTCTCAGTTGTACTCCTTAATTGCGATCATATGTAGAAGTTTCTAAGTACTGTTTACTGTTCCTCTTGTTACATCTAGGTTTCCTCTTGCGCTTTTTCTTTGTTCCTATTCCTTTGGCATAGGTGTGAACCTGATAATCCGAATATAATATTCGTTTTTGACACATGAGCCATCTGGCACCAATTTGGCCCTACACCTTACTTTCTTATTGCATTTCTTGCCAATTTTAACCGCTCAACTTGCTTGGAAAATTCACGCCCCAGTTTTGACTTCCATATTTATAACTATTAGTATAGTATTCTTGACCCTATCTAATTACCTAGGACTCTAGTAAGAGTTTCATGACAAGTTGAAAACCGTTACTGACATGGATCAGTCCTACAGAAACCTGCTCAGTCCTAATTTATCTGTTTTACTCTTTGTAGTAACAACGACATTGGGCTCAGAATAGGGTCAATCATTGCACCGTGTGACATTTCTAGATTTCCGTCCTTTCTCGCCCACCCTTTCCAATGGCTGGTGACGTCGATACTATGGATGGAACTTGTAGTGAATGACCTTTGCAAATCATGTAACTACAGAGTACAGTAGCGGTTAGGGCTTGTCGGGAGGGGGGGGGCAAGGGAATATATGACTACTGGAAATTTATATTCTCGAACTCCACTCTGTCACAGGTTTTCCTCATATACCCAGAAACCCTATAAGAACCACACCAAAGCACCTGCAAAAAACAAATATCAACTCTCAACCGGGCGACGACTGACAAAAACAGCGGGCACTGCGACTGCGCGGGACTAACGCTAGGGAGAAGAAGAAGAACTCTCAGCCGGGGCAATTCCCTTCCGGAACCGCCATTTTTACTTTTTTACTTTTATTTTTGAACCATCCATCAAAGATTTCTTAACGCTTGACACTGGCCCTCCCTCCTCACGTGCATAACCGGGGATGCACTTCAGCACTATCCTCGTCACCTGATATGTAGCAGTCTATCAAAATTACGTATATGAAGTTTTTGCTGGTCTCGGAAATTTACAAATTCAGCTGTTGGCCTACGCCACCAATTCCTGATTTCTGACTTTTCATCAGTTTTTTTTTCACTTTATTGTTCCTGATTCTTTGTCGTTGCACTTGCTTCGGTCGATCGGATGTAGCTTCATCATGCGTGTAAAAAGGTTGGCAAAATTGTGGGACTGGTCGGAATGAGCACATTCGAAAAAGAACAGTCTCAAGGGGAAGTCTATCTATTCGAAAGGGGCTTGGCTAATAATTGGTTTTGCGCTGCGCAAGCAGGGTGGTCTATTGAGATAGATCACAATGCGATTCATCACGCGTTTACGCTCCGTTCAAGTTAAAAACTTCACATTACTATTTGATATGTGGTGTTTTCTTCGAAAGTAGCCTCATACTGCCTCTCGCTGTGAGTCCTGTGCAAAACCAGTAGAGGGGGTGTATGCTCGATTTCAGGATGTGGTAGGCGCGCAATGTACGCAGTGACTGTTTGATGCTACCTCTTCATTTTAACTTCTTAGAACTGAGCCTAGTGGGAGAAGAACTCCAACGGAATGATACTGTTCACGCACTTTAGAGCTTTTCAAACCAGTAGCGCCTTGTCCAAGCAATTCCTGTAAAATACCGTACCTCAGCGCGTACATTGTGCACTTACCGTAATCCGAAATCGACCCCCTTGACTAGTTTTGCATCTGATTCCCTCTTGTCTTTCTTATATCTATTCCACGCATTTTGTCTGTGTTATTTCCATTCGACGTTCTTCGCTTGATCGCGACGGTTTCATTGAATGACTGAATCAGATGGTTTCAGAACTTCCTGAATGAAATGACGTGATGAACGACACCGCCGACGTAGCTGACGATCCATGTGCCTACGGAGAACCGCGATTTCTTTATGAGAGGTAGGAGATTCTTAGGTGCTGGATACAGACCGTTACAGAGCAATTGTAAAGGCACAGGGGGATCGCCTAGCAGTCCACTTCGCTCCCTTCGTTTTATTCTAGACGTATTATTGCACTCGGAAGTGACAGAAATGGCAGACGCCAAGAGGACGACTTGTAGAAAAGAACTCTTCGAAGGCCGTCGAAAACACTGGAACTAAGGGCTCCCTGGATAGTGGTCGAGTTTGCAAAATTTACGAGATAGGCAGTCTACGAGAGACTGGAGGGCCGAGGCGAGACAAAGAAGGGGACGGCTGAGACGCAGGCGCCGAAGCGATAGCAACGGCGGCAGCGCAAAGTACATGGGGTGTGCATGAGAACCTCGTAATTCTTCATTGCAGTCTTACGCATTTTGAGCCAAGTTTATTCTATTGGGGACGGAGAGCCCTTTGAGAATCGCCCTTCGCAAGACCGGACTCCCGATCTCTCGTATTTCGACATCACTAGGAAGTCGCTACAAGCAAGTGCACAACCCCTTGTCAGCCAGTCCCGTTTCTCTGAAATCTTTTCAATTCTTCGATCTTTTTTTTTATCAAAGAAAGGTAACTTGGTTGTCCATTTGTTTTTTCAATCGGCGAATTGCGGCCGATTCATGTCATGGACCATTTTGCTACCCCTTCGTGGCCCAGAGTTGGCTCTTTCAGGCACTTTCTGTCTGTTGTAAAAAAACAGAAGTCTTCTGAAGGATTTTCGGGACTTCTGGAGTAGATTCCTATCAATAAGAAACTTTCTGATGAACCAGCCTCTGAATGATTTTTTCAAGCGTTTGCTTTTTCAGGTTCATATTGGTGGCAATCGTCGGAACCAGCGTGGCCGTGATCAACATTATTGAAAATGTATTCCTCTGTTTCATGTTTTTTAGCAGGTGGGTGAACTGAATTTTGACTCTGATGATCTTCATGTGATCTGACTGTTACCTGTTTACCAAATCTTCGATTACGAGAAATCGGCCGCGTGAAACAGAGTCTATATTATATTGTGATTCAATTGGTTCTTATCATAATGATGAACGAATAAGATGCGTCATACATCTGGTTTTCGAAGCGTGTCACAGGGCCCTTGGAATGGGTATTTCCCTCGGGCAGCGGCTGGGGAGCCACGGAGGCTCTAGGCTGTAGGAATACGGCCGATGTCAGACTTTGCGAATCGCGCGATTCGCTAGCGTCTGCGGTCGCGTCGCGGCCAGTGAATCACTCAATTGGCTGGTACCGCAACGCGACCGCGGACGCTAGCGAATCGCGCGAATCGCTAGTAGCGAATCGCGCGATTCGCAAAGTCTGACATCGGCCTTAAGTCGTGAGGAGTAAGGTCGATCGCCGTCCATGTGATTCCAATGCTTAACCTCTTGAAGGGGAAACCGCCTACTTTCTTCTCAAGTCCAAACTACGTAGCAAATCGTCCTTACAGTAGCACTACATCATCAGTTAAGTGGGGATTGATACTTTTAGGAATCTGTGCTTAAGATAGTGCTCATCATAGGTGCTCTGTATCACTTTCGTTGGCCAAATTTATGCGAATAATATTTCACAGTTGTTGCTTGAGCGTTTTGTTCTTAGCGACTTGACGGTTTTCAAAAATGAGATGGTGTAAAGCTAGGTGGCCCACACATACTACGCGAGCCACCCATGGATCAAATCCCGGATCGGATCCTACCCACGCCAATCAATCCTTCAATTCCTTTGATGTCGGCTCATCGACTGGTGCCATGACTTGCTTGAGAGCATGAAACACTCGCCTCCTACCTCAGTAGGCATCACGGTATCCTGTGCATGTCAAATCGCTCCAAATGCTATCATTAGCCTGGATGTAACTTAGGTACATGGCGTATCCATATAGGTGATGCTTAACGTCGAGACCACCACCGTTTTATTTTCACCGACCAAAGAGTAAGATGTTCACCTCAGCCTGTGCGACGGTTAAGGGTAGCCTTTATTGGGTTGAGCCTCACCTATGCTTTAAGAGCGAGAAGTCATATTGATGATAAGTGCCAATAGTATTCCTCTAGGAAGTTCTGCATCTAAAAGAACAGTTACTTATTTCCCAATTTAAACTCATTTCACATTCCTTTTTGTTTTCGTTTGCAACTTGAGTCTATCGGATTTTTCCTTGAAAATCCCATTAGTCTTTGGCCTTCTTCTAGAGCTTTGCCGCCTTACGGAAGAGCGAGTAATTCTATATCCGTGCGATACTTGCAGAGAATTTATTTAAGCTCGGAGAGCGTTCAACATATACTCTCGTGAGCATTCTTGTGCCACCCATTGCGCATCTTCATAGCATCTTCTCACTTTAATTTCTTGGAACAAGAAAGCGAAGAAGCGGCGAAAGGCGGAGGGGGCAGCAGGCAGGACACGCAGAGGAAATTTGCGGTCGAGCGGGTTGCATTGGCATTTCTGTGCGACCAGGGTAATGAGCTCCATTCTCCTTGACTGTTGAGTAGCTGATGGACTAACTTCGGTTTCACTTAGCGACTTTCTGCTAGACAAGAAAAAGAAAAAAAAAAAAACCCAAAGGAGTAGCAGCGGAGATGATCATCCTTTCAGAGATGCGCTGCATGTCCACCCCCTGTCAGGTCGCGAAGGGAAGTTGAGTGCGATTGTGGTAGAGAAGATCTGACAAGGCGCTAGTTGATGAACATTGGGACCTTTCTATTTCCCAAACAATCTGCGTGAGAATTAATATTTGGAATGAGGTTGTTTTTTTGACTGAGAAGAAGACATTGAGGGAATTTCACTCCGAGTTGTCTCTTTTATTATTGGTGCCTTTCTTAGGGCTGAGTCTCTGCGATGTCTTCCTTGCTTATTGGGTGAGGAACCTGCGGAAGACGCCAGGACATATTACACTCCTAGGCTAGTTGATGAACATGTACCTTTGCTATCTTCCCAAACGACTTTGCTACCAACCCTGGTGAGGGTTAATATTTGGAATGAGGGTGGTTTTACTGAAGAGGAGGCAGGGCGGACTCTTTTACCTTCCTGATTGTCTATTTTTACACATTCTTTGCCGTTCTTAAGGGTCAGTCTCTACAAGATGCTCACTGCTATTTGGTCCAGGAACACGTAAGGGTGCTTGCAGCTAGGATACCATTAAATACACACTTAATAGTGGAGTATAGACATAATTTTTCGCTGTATCGAGCGGAATTCTGCACTACAGACTCAACAACACAGGTGACGATGGTCTCCCAGTAAACCAGATAAATGGCAATTCACAGCGAAAGCTGATAGTTGATAAATGATGCTAAATGATATAATTTCAGGAAATCTTATCGCTCATCCCATTGCCTTTACTTGGCCCTGTTGGCATTTTTTGATATTTTCATCGCTGGCGCCTATATTCCGTTGATGAGTCTGAACCTCGTAGTCGATTACTGGAGATCGGTTACTCTTTTGAGGGCATGGTATGTTATCTTTTTGTTAGAACTATTCATATTCTATTCTAAAGGAGATGTGTTCCGCTGCCTATATAGGTCCTCTTTCGTTCAACGCATTTTACTTTCATTTTATTTTTTTTTCAATTTTTCTATGAACCGCATTAGTGAACAAGAAGACCGCCCTAGATACGTTCGTGTATTTGTGCGACTGTTTTTTTTTGTGAAAAATTGCGTTTGCATGCATTCCTGGCGGGGGCAAAACTGTCGGGGTGGAGCTTAATTTTTAGTGTCAAAGATAGGTGTTGCTGCCAAACTGGGAACAAAGAAGCTAAAGCGAGTGTAGGATGCCGACAGCGGACTGATTTATGATATGTAGTCTATGCTAACCATAAGACAATGCAAAATTGCTCGCTTAGGCCCTAGTTTAGCCTCGCTACCAGACCTCATTTTCATTGACTTGCGGGTGTCCAAATACCACCTGATCACTTCTCATCTAGACTCACCCATTGTATGAAAACAACCAATGGCAAGAGTCATCCCATTTCGATACATCCGCCTGTCCTCGTGGACATAAGCCTGCTGCAGCGGGCTGTAATTAAAGACACATTCCTCGGTTAAACAGTTGGGGTATGTTGTGCTCAGAATAAGCGTAGTTGTGGTAACTGTCCACAACTGATTAAAAATTGCAAAAATTCACTAGGAACACTTCAAATCACGCCGGTGGTATGGGCAGCAGGGTTTGCGCCCCGCCCCCAGAGAGACGGCATTCTTCAGCCCTTTCCTTGATGTGGCCAAGTGTGGTGAAAAATAAAATAGTTAGGTTTGAGCAAAAATATAGAACTTAGAAATTTTTAGGGGGAATAACCAAAGAATTAGTTCGACTTCCGTTAAAAATTAACTTTGGTAAAGTAATTCGGTTGCAAAATAAGATGACCAGGAGACTCCCGCTCAAAGCCATCAATTGAACGGAAACCCTGTTACATCGACGACGCAGTCCATACGACAGGAGGAAATGCTTTTGGAAATTGTTTGAGAGCAAAAAACCTTTGCTGTCACTCAAGGGGGTCTTGGGTGGTCATACACATGCAAGATTACATGGACAGCACTAATTTTAGTGCAGGGACTCCTTCAATCTTCGCTGATTCTTTTCCACAAATGGAATCCACTTTAATCATATATCGCTATCTAACTTAGCGCCATGATTAGACAAATCGCGCCAAGCCAGCCAATTAGAATATGAATGCTTTTCCCAGCGAGCTCTCATAAGCAGACAGCTCGGTCTTCAAGCTACGGTATATTAATTTCTGGATAAAGCGAGATGAATAGTACTCGAACCTTCATGAGGTCTTCGTCGAATTACCTTAGATCGATCTGACGCACACGGTCCACGCAACCGTGGCTGCTGCACACGACCGCGTGCTTTGTTTCCGTGCTTTTCTCTAAGACGACAGCGTTCGATAAATCTCCAAAAAACTTTGTAGGTTTGCAGAGGTATGATCACTTTCTACTTCACTAAAGCCTATCACGAAAAACGCACGAAGTTCCCATTTTTGGATCGCAAGGGTTGTTTGAGAGCTCACTTGATTGCTTGCGGAGGTATTTGGAAAGGCGCATAGTCTTCTCAGGATCTGCGATATCTGAAAATGCCCTTCTGCGGATTGCCCTTTTTCCACTCCCCTCAAGTCTAAACGGGAGAAAGTGATGATAACACATGTGGCATTCTCTAACGGGTTCGTTGGAGTCACCAATATATTGGCAAACACACAGGATGTAGAAACGTTGCCAGCCCGAGGCACTAAGGCCTAACGATGCAAGCGGACATCTAAATAGCACACGAGGTCTCTTCTGAACTGTTGGTGCAGGGCGCGTCTTCTATGTATCCTCATGTATACTTCTGTCGTCTGCTTCTCTTTTCCCAGTTTTCGATGCTCGATATCTCTTTTTCCTCTAATAGTACTCATCTGCAGCTCCTCTTTTTTAACTCTACAAATCAATGTCTTTGGTCTTTACCTTGGTTTTATCTCTTTTCCATCACTATGGTCCACTTCGCAAATTTTCTTTCATTTTTTGACTGAATGTCATACTAATTCAATCGTAAAAAGTACCTTTAGGTTCAAGTGCCCTGAAAATGCACCCACCTCCGTAAAGGGTTCAATGCAAGGTTATATATATATACGAGAGATATTGCTGACCCCTCCTGGTTGCTACTGTTCCCTTGGCAAGCTTTGCGTACAGCTGATGACAGTTCCTTCCCCTTCGCCCTCCCAACAAATTTGGCCCAATTTGGAATCGCCACTGCCCTTCTCTGACTGTCTAGAGACCTATATATGTGAGCCTCTTGTTGATTTTCTCGAATAAAGAGCCGATTTAATAAGTTAATGACGCGGCGGGAGATTATTTAAAACTTAAATAGACTCCTCAACCGTGTTTGAAAAGCTTTAAGAAGAAGGTGTTCGTGTGGTCAGTGAGTAGCCAGAACTCAGCTTGAGAGAGGGTAGAAGTCCGATGAGAAACATCCGATCGAAATCATTTTTTCTTGACATTCTACTCTATTCCAGCGCACAAACAACCCATACAGCACAAACGACATTCCTAGAGACGTTGCGTAGGAATGAAGCCGTTAGCAGTTCGCAACATCAAAGGACTCTGTGAACAAAAATTGTGATTATTCACACAACGTTGCACCGCGCGATTCATTGGCCATTGTTCTGTATGAGAACATTTTATCTCCCGCCAAGCGGCGATACTTGTACCAATCGTGGAGAACCGTGTAGAAACAACACTTTTTTCCGAAAGACCACATCTTGCAATTTTCCATGGAATACAGACCACCGGTACGAATTTTTTCAGAGTGTGAGTTGACTTTTCTCAACCCTAACTTCGACCATCCTCCAACACCACAAAGTGCTGTTTAATAAGTGGACGGATGACCCGTGATGAGTGTGGTGCTCTGAAGGTTGTGCTTCAGTCTGAACTCGAACCCAGCATCCTTATTGCCAACTGCGGTGATAAAGATATTATGGCAAATGGACTATGAGCATCTTGAAAATCTGAAAATTCTAATCGGATGAGTGTAGAAATTCAAAGATTGTGCGACAGGCTCTGGATGTTAGCTGTGATTCTTTCCAGGTTCACCTACATGATCCCGATGATCACCGTCTCACACATCGCCATGACGGCGTCGTCGTTTCTCATGGTGGCCGCTAGTTTCGAGCGATATTGTGTGACTGTTCACCCTCACGTCACGAAATTTCTTAATCGGAACAGGTTCGTTCGAAGTTCAAAACCATTCTTAACGTTTCGTATTTTCCTGATAAAATTCAAAAAGCCAAGACGTTTCAATTGGGACCCGTAGGATGACTTCGTTGTTGTTCCGGATTGTATGCCGTCTCAATAAGCATTTGCAGCGTTTAAAATAAATTTTGACATGATTCTGATTTAATTTTTATCTGGAATTACCTAAGTTTGATTTCATGTTTCGACGAAATGTATTCTCGGCCGTAGTCGATACTGACAAATCATGAAAATTAGATTCTTCCTATACTAAAAGTTTTAATAATATCATACCTCTAGCACGATCGAAGGCACGATCGAAGGTCCTGGTAAAGTGGTCCTCTAACTTCCATTACTGACAAATGGGCATGCACAGCGCCTCTGTGGGGTTAGATTGCTTGAAAAATGAAATGAAACCTGGCGCTATGTTGATTTTCAATATGTTTTGAGTCATGGACGAGTCTTCGGGGTAGATTGTTGATGCTGAGCGTTGACGTGAGAGAGCATACCACGATAAAAGAGAGCAAAGGGACGAGTGAGACGGAGACACCAGCGCACTCGTAGATGAGGACGCGCAGCCGCATGAGGCGTTTTTTTTTTTTTTTTTTTTTCTGTTTTTTATTTTTTTTTTTTTTTTTTTTCCACAGTTGAAACTGCAAGTGCTCAAAATTCCCTCTCAGCCATTTTTAGTGTTGTAAACGGTAGTACCCTTGCGTCTGCAGTTCCCGCAAGAAATCACTTTAAGGTGGATTCTTTTGATAAACGAATCGTTGAATCATCCCTCCAGATGCACCTCAGAGGCACGGGTGGGAGCCAGAAGTTATGTGAAAGATTCCCCTCGGTGTTCCTTGACAAGTCCTTGCATAGCAGACAAAGATTTGACATTCTGATGCAGGGAAATAACCAAAAAATGGAGCTAGAGTCTCGCCTGCAAAGACAGCTTCAGCAGCTTCATTATTCTCTGGTACCAATAGGTTGTTGTGTGGCGCCCTCTCATCTTTTGCGCTCTCTCTCCTACTCTTCCTCTCATACTCTTCTCTCCGTATCAGTCTCTCATTGCCTTAGCGCAGCCGCATAATGAAGGTGAACAAGCCCTTACCTAAGCGTTTTTAGCGGGCTCTCTCTCCTTTTTTCTTTGCAACGGGCCCATACACCAAGACTTTCATATTAGTGCGTAAGGACCACACCAGTTTGGCTCTCGGGCATGCTTCTGGACTTACCCGTTTTTTAAGTTACTGCTCAAACTACCTCATGATTTTCATGATAATGATGCTTTAGTACGAGTATCACCCCTTGGCAGCATTCAAAACATAATTTCAGAATCGAATAGCAGCTGTGTTGGCAGTGTGTTCTTGAGTCGCCACGAAGTGCACGCATCCATTTGAGTTCGAGGTTGGTCAATGAAGCTCAGTCGAAGATGGGCCAGCTAGTTTCTCATTTTCTTTCGATGTGAATTGAATTTGTTTCCATCCCGTTTCTATTCAACGCGATGTAGTCGGCCAAACGAGCTTTCCGCTCCCACTCACCTGATTACATTCTTTGAGCACTCCATTGTGAAACAAAACCACTGCTCGGGAGTTGTATGAGGCGTTTTTCAAAAGAAGGTAGCAAATAAAAAATAAAGAGTGTCGTTTAGGAGCTGAAAAGTAGGGTTATTTTAATAAGAATACAATAACCTAGTTTCAGATAACCTATGTCCCAGAATGCCTTGGGACAATGGGCGAGTATATTCTCGGTCTTTCGCCTTTGGCTATGGATGAAGTCTACAATGCTTACTGGCGGATATGGTATGCTTTGGATTTTTGCCGTATTTTCGTTACGAAATTTCGAATTTCCCATTCAAAATGGAGTTGTTGAGTTTTGTTGAATGATGACGAAGAAACCGTTCGAATGGACCGTTATCTGAAGCAACCAGTGATTCCACTCTAAAAACACTTTCGGGCGCTGCTAAAATAAGGGGAAAGAGTGATTGAAGGGAAGCAAGCACTTTGCTATGGTGCACTCAAAGCATTAAGCTCACTAAGAGTAATCGAGCTACTGCAGCAAGATGTTTTCCTCTCAACCCTTAGGCCGCGTTCATAGTTCGCGACTCGGGAGATTAGGATAGTAGGCGACAGGATATTAGGATAGTAGAGTAGGAGATTGCGCTGACAAGATTGGATACGTATCGATTGAAATCGCTGGAGAGTAGTAGATTGGGCGACTTCAAGCGAATAGATCAATACATATCTAATCTTGTCAGCGCACTATCCTAATCTACTACTATCCTACTATCGTAATATCGCAATCTACTACTCTCCATCGATACGTATCTAATCTTGTCAGCGCAATCTCCTACTCTACTACTATCCTAATCTACTACTAATCTCCCCGTCAATACATATGTTTTTCATTGTCGCGTACTATCCTAATCTCCGGAGTCGCGAACTATGAACGCGGCCTTGGGGTAACACCGCCCATTCTTGCATTAGTCGTCATTTTCGACTTTTGCTGAACCTCGGCATGGCAAAAGTACGACTTTATTAGATTGAAGGGCACAGTGTTGGCGACCGTTTGATCGGTATAAGTTTCGACTGCTTTACCTACTTCGAACCAGGGTCAACCGTCGCGTTCGCACTTTTTCAAAAATTTTGCGACCCCCGCCCCTCTTTAGTGGGGTCTCGATGCGCCCTTCCACCACCACCATCAGTCTAAGAAGGTTCCCCCAATATGATCCTCTTTTAACTGCCTCTATTACCACTTTTCCGTATATCGTTAACCCCGCTCAACCCCACAATGCGATCCCCCCTTTCCGCAATCACAAATGCGACCCCCTCGTTCGAATGCGAATAGACGGCGACCCTGCTTCGGACTGATAATCTGATGAGTTAGTCCGTAAGACACTTGATGAGATGAGTCATGAATGGGTCCTCATCTTCCAGACTCCAAAGAAGGCCTTGTGTTAATGGCTCCCAGTTAGTGAAATTTTCAAGAATGAACCCTAAAATATTCCCTGGTGCCAAGTTTGATCGATATTTAGAACGGGAAAACGACAGCGTTTAGCCGTTCATGAGCATTCTTTAGTTTCTCAAGAATGAAGGAAAATCGCTGTTAGTTAGTATTGATATGCTGAAGATATGCTGATTAGCGTAAAAACTCCTAACGACCCCAATATTTGGAACTCCTTACGGCCTGCTCATGTGCTTCTCAGGGCTTCACCTCTCTCATGAGTCTGGTTACAATAATTATGTAGATTCACTAGAGTTGGAAGGCTCGGTTACGCTCGGCGAACCCTTTGTCATTCAAGGAAAATACATACTGGATAGCTTATGCTTCCGTAATCTTTTCCGTAATTGGAAGTAACAATTTGAATTGAAATCAGTTCGAGTTTCCTCCCATTTTCTGCACGGTGCTACAATTTTGCTGCAGCATTCACTACAATCATGGTTTTGAATTGAATGCCGAATTCACTGTCCTTGAATCCCGATTTTTATGGCACCTCTGTGGATCAACAAAAATTGATTTCACTAAAGACTTTCAAAGTGGACTAAATCAGTTGAATCACTCCCTTATATTCAAGGTTTTCCCGATACTATAGGGCGGAAGTGGTGTAGTGGCAAGTGGCGCGCTTACCACGCGAGCGGTCCGGGATCAAATCCTGGGTCGTGAGTCGCCCGGGCCAACCAAGCCTTCCATCCCTCCGGGGTCGGTTAATTGGTACCAGACTTGTCTGGGAGGATAAAAACACTGACTTGAACATCGGCTGGCCCCCGCAAGTCATTGTATAGGCCACATCGCATTCAAACGCCACTACGAATGTACAAATGGAAGTAGAATGCGTGCCGCATCCCAAAAGGGATTGATCAACGGCAAATGCTTTATCCTTTATCCTTTATATTCAGGTTTCGTTCGGTGTTCACCATTCTGGTTCCTTTCTTTCTTCTCGCCTTCATGAATACTCGTATTGTGCTCGTCATACAGCGAACCGAATTTCAATTTCTCAGTGCTCAAAAACTCAGTGAAGCCAAGCGGGAAGGTGAGAAATGTTTCTATTGTATGACCTGCTCGATTCACGATCATTACACCTGCAGCGCGGGCTTAGAAGAGTCAATAGTCACTCGGACAATTGTAAGAGTCGTTTTTTTCGAGAGTAGAGATCGATTTTTTGAAGAGTGTTGGTACAATTTTCCAACAATTTTCTACGAAATGTTTCGGGAAAGGTCGAGATTGAGAATTATTCATACTTTTTCTAGACCTAGAGGGTCGTCGGTTTTTGAGATTGAACAGTTTTCTGCAGTTTCTACGAAATGTTTCTGGAGTGATCGAAATTTGAAAAGTATTTTTCCTTGCTGTCTTAGTGCCGTAACGAACCATTGTGCATCAAAATGACTCAGCGATGTTTTGAATAGAAGTATAGTGGCATGCGCGCGTTACAAGAAGGCTAATATCGCTGTCCGACAATAAGCGCTTTTAATCATTTCACCAGAAAAGCTACTTACTTCCCGTTAATTGTCTGCGTAAAGCTCCACTCTTACACAGACCTTTTTCAGTCTCGTGTACGTGCGGCAACCAGAACTCTCGTCTTCGTTGTGGCCACTTATTTGCTCTCAAACATCCTCAATGTGATTATCACTATCTGGGAGTATATTGATTACGAGTCCATCACTGTGACTTTCAACACCTTCTACACTTTCGCTGTTGATGTGGTGAGTTATATTAGCCAGTTTTTTTTTCAATAGATATTTGGTTCAATAGAAAATTCCTCTTCACTATTTTTTGCAAACATTTTTGTGCAACTTGTCGACCTCCTCCTCCCAGGATAGTAGCTGAAATTCGAAGTAGTGGTTGAGCATCTCTCTGGATAAACGTTTGCCTCGATATTTTCGCCGAGGAGAGGCTGGTCTGACTCATGGGCTACCATCAACAGGGCGAAGCTAGCATTTCAGGGGATCTCATTGATGCCAGTCACTCCTGATCGTGTTGTGGGTCGGGAGCGGCCATCAACCTCCATCGCTTCCTCACACGTCAAGAGACCCTATCTAAGGAGGAGAGGTAGGGGCCGGCTTGTACTCCACTTCCTTGGGTCACGTATAGCCCTGACCCGTCCCACCCGATTATCGCCCTCTGAAACTTGCGACCGGGTTCTTCCATTTGAAAAGAACATTCTGTACGTAATTCACCAGTCTCTTGGTAACATTCCCATTAAAAATTGTGGTGAGGATAAGCATCTGTCCAGCGGGGCAATTTGAGGTTTGTGGCTTCTTTACAGTACCTTGCAGTACAAATCACATTTCGTATGGAACTTCGGACTTTTAAGAAATTTGTCTTACAGGTTTCACTGCTCACGATATTTGCCGGCTCTCTTCGACTACCTATCTATGTGTGCTGTCAGACAGAGCTGCGGAAAGACTTCATAGCACAATTGAAAAAGATCTGCTACCGTAGTCCGTACAAGGTATTTCGAATATTTATTTATTTATTCACGTGCCATCAAGCCTAAGAGTGGTTTTACGCGGTCCATTATGTTGACGGATGTTCATATTTGCTTCCTGGTCTAGTTAGGAGGCACCCTCCGCGATCACATAGGAGCCGCTATTGCGCTGGAGAAGGAGGGTAGATGTGTGAAGTAGACCACCAGCGAAGGAGAGAGGAAGTTACAGGATTGAGATGGAGAGCTTGTCGGGTTGTGGGGAGTCCTTCGAAGACGAGCAGTAGGCAAAGCCTTGGGTGTCGAGGACAAAAGAACGCAAGGGCCGAGAGAAACGCGAAGGGCAAGTGGGAAGACAGGGTAAATACGATGGCCATGCTGACAGGCCTCACGGGAGTTAAAAACCTTGCCAGGCTTTTTAGTCGCGCAAGTGGCACGATTTCTGCAGTTGCTCACTTATTCACGGAAGGGTCGTTCCAGTGAGCTGGTCGCGCACTTTTCCTTGAGACGTTTTCTCAGGAGATTTTGTGGCGAGGCTATGCGGAACTTCTCTTTGATTATTACGGCACATTCCCTTCCTTACCCTCGCAAAGCTCTAAAGAG